ATATATATATATATATATATATATATATATATATATATATATATAAAGTAATATTAAAAATTAATCAATGAACTATGGGAAAAATATAATCTATAAGTTTTATTCGAATCGATTATTTTCTGAATAATATAATTAATAAATATTCGATAATGTTGAATGAAATTTTATTCGTTAATCTTTGTGTCTTATGCCATCCGAATAAAATTGTGCCTATCTCTGTTCAAGACTAATAACAATTATGATGATAGCCCGTTTTGCTATATTAAATTCATTCGTGTTTCATATCACGAAAATCGAGTATTATTAATTTTATTTGCGACTAGTAATAATAATGATAGTTTGTTTTGGTGTAATAAATTAATGCATGTTTCAATCCATGAAAATTGAGAATTATTAATTTCGATTAATAACAGCGATGGTGATAGTCTGTGTTTGTATAATAAAGTCATTTATGTTTCATTTAAACGGAAATTAATTTCATATAATACTTATCGAGACTATGATACATGATTTTCTATTCTAGTATCTTTTTAGCATTATTAAACGTTCCATTTGCTTTTGTTTGGAAAAATGAAAGAAAGCTTCCAAAAATGGGGGATGGGAAGTTTATTTTGTAAAATATTTAGATAATGCACAACAACATTTTTCTAGATTCGCAGATGACGCTAATGTTCATAATATAATAATGAAACTTTAATATGTCTTTTCGAAAGTATGTTTTTCAAAACGATGACCATGTTATTTCAAATTCTAGTTAATCCGAAACTTTCTACTTAATACCAAATACAGTCCGTATAGAAACCAACCCAAAAGTTTCATTTTTATCATTTTTTAGATATTGAAAAATCGATAATTAAATTTAAATACTGCAACATGAATAAATAAACCTTATAAAAGTTACTGCAAACAAAATGTACACCAATTTTAACACTTCTATTCACCCAAAAATTTTTTAAATGTTACTGCAACATGTATTATATAAATAAACCTTATAAAAGTTACTGTAAAAGAATTTATGGTTTCTTCGCAAAAATCCCCCCAAAAAGTTACAAGAAAATGCAATTTATACTAGAATACCTTCTTAAGCAATACTAATCTGTCAACGTTAATTATAGCGAGGGAGAATAAAACTGACAAACCGTTGTATTTGTTCAACTTTCTCGTTAAAAAATCGAGCAGACGATTTCAGCAGACAGAGAAAAATTTGGTAAAACAGTCGTAAAAATGGCGTTGCAAGTATTTTGTCAGACTCACCTCAACAGCGAGCGCTTGAATTCCGTCTTTGGGTGGCGCGCCAGGTAAGTACACGTTCTCCTCGGATACCCACATCACTTTGGTGTATCTAGGTTCCGCGCAAAACTCGACAACGATGCTCAAAGGTTCGCCCTCCTTCGCAGTCACCGTTTGACTAGGTGGTTGAACTATGGGTCCGCCTGGAACAAAAATTCCGAAATAACCTGGTTAACCCTCGTCGTCCAGCGAGAACACGCGGCAGGGGGCAGCCTTTCTTTGTTGGTCGCCGAATCGTCCCCGTGTGTTTCGTTGCCCGCAAATCCACTCGCCTCGGCTTCCACGAGCTTGCTAGGTAGCTTTCGTCTTCTAACGGCGTAAATATATCAGCGTGCACCCTACACGAGACGCTCGTATTTCTTGTTAAATTACAGAGTAACTGTTTTCCGAGTGGCTATCGAGCTTGTACTGGAAAACAGAATCTCGAATTAATTAAGCGGAATAAATGAATGTCTAATGAACCCGTATATTAATTTGACGTCTCGCAGTTTCTTTAATGTGCCACTTGTACGTGAGCGATGCCGCCGTTTTGTGATAAATCAATGGCACTCTAATGTAGTAACATAATAATAATAATATTATATTATATTATATTACTACATTAGAGTGCCATTGAGAATATAACAGATAAATAATATAATATTATATTATATTATATCATATTATATTATATTATATCATATTATATTATATTATATCATATTATATTATATTATATCATATTATATTATATTATATCATATTATATTATATTATATCATATTATATTATATTATATCATATTATATTATATTATATCATATTATATTATATTATATCATATTATATTATATTATATCATATTATATTATATTATATCATATTATATTATATTATATCATATTATATTATATTATATCATATTATATTATATTATATCATATTATATTATATTATATCATATTATATTATATTATATCATATTATATTATATTATATCATATTATATTATATTATATCATATTATATTATATTATATCATATTATATTATATTATATCATATTATATTATATTATATCATATTATATTATATTATATCATATTATATTATATTATATCATATTATATTATATTATATCATATTATATTATATTATATCATATTATATTATATTATATCATATTATATTATATTATATCATATTATATTATATTATATCATATTATATTATATTATATCATATTATATTATATTATATCATATTATATTATATTATATCATATTATATTATATTATATCATATTATATTATATTATATCATATTATATTATATTATATCATATTATATTATATTATATCATATTATATTATATTATATCATATTATATTATATTATATCATATTATATTATATTATATCATATTATATTATATTATATCATATTATATTATATTATATCATATTATATTATATTATATCATATTATATTATATTATATCATATTATATTATATTATATCATATTATATTATATTATATCATATTATATTATATTATATCATATTATATTATATTATATCATATTATATTATATTATATCATATTATATTATATTATATCATATTATATTATATTATATCATATTATATTATATTATATCATATTATATTATATTATTTTATATTATACTATAGTAGTAATGGCACCTAATGTAAGATTTATGGGCACTTCACACAGGCACGAAACAAATTTGTTCAATAATATTTATTTAATGTGGTTGAATTTGTACTGAATTTTGTATTTATTTAATTTATTTGGATCCCATGCTTACCTGCATTAAAGAACTTTTTATAACTCTAAAATGCGAATATTCTTTGCGAATTTTCTGTGTAAGTGTACATGATCGGAAACTTTTTGCCACAGGTTGTACTATTGGTGTACACATCACAGTGACTTGCAGCGACTGTAAAATCATACTGTACCAATAATTGAATTTCGTAAAAAATCTAACCTAGATTCTTGTTCGATGTCCCCATTGAATTGCTAGTTAAAATTTCGAATTTCGCGTTCGACCTCAGAAATCTCTTCAATTATTTATTGGAGATTTTCTGGCGATGGTGCGGAACAGATAAGCCCTAGAGCGTTTACGCGTCCATTTGTTAACCATTTTTTGAGCTATGGCCGGTGAACGTTGGGCGGCTGAGCGAGCGAGAGAGTGACAGAGAGAGAGAGAGAGAGAGAGAGAGAGAGAGAGACAGAGAGGGAGAGAGAGAGAGAGTGACACAGAGAGAGAGAGACAGAGAGAGAGAGAGAGATTGACACACAGAGAGAGCGAGAGAGAGAGAGAAGGAGAGAGAGAGAGAGAGCGAGAGAGAGGGAGGGAGAGAGAGAGTGACAGAGAGAGAGAGAGAGAGAGAGAGAGAGAGCGAGAGAGAGAGATATTTGTAGACTGCGCAATTTTTTTCTGTAAAAAAAGACAAATGTATTTATGGTCTAGTTTTTCCGTGGCGCATCGGCCGCGATCCTATGGAAAACATCGACAGGACCTTTTTTTACGCGTGTCGAGCTGTGGTAAACGCGACACTTTTGATTTACTCGTTTCATGGAAGCGGCGTGTAGGGGAGATGTTCCGCAATCCCTCGGCAAATACGAGCGAATGCTCGATGATCGAAACAAGTCTCGATCGCTTGACAATGTTGCCTGCTGGCTGACTGGTAGCGGCATACAGGCGACGCAACGAGACGCATCGTCCTGCGTAACCGTGCAAATTGCAGTCATGGGTTTCTCGATTTCAAAGCCTGAAGGCGTACGTGATTTCCGAAGCAGCCTCTGGCCTGGTCTTGTCAAAGTATTCTGTCGTTAACGGCGCGACGCGCGCGAACCTGCAACGACGTTGCGTTGCACGGTTGACCTTTTCCGCCGAGAAGCTTTTTAATTCAAATCGAAGGTCGTAATTACAAAATTTTTTAAGTAATATCCGGTTAGCAATGAAATAAACATGTTTTTTTTTTAAGTTATATATATATAACTGCTGTGAATATTTTTCTGATTTTTATTACAAATAATAGTTTAACGTGAAACTTGCGAATTGAAATGATAAATTTAACGCTTCGAAATTCTTATAGGCGTCAATATTTTTTCATTTTTCCGATTCACTTTAATTGCACTTTAAAAATGATGTAATCGTGTATTTCGAAAACAGCGTCGGAAATAATGAGAAGTTGAAATACTATATTTAATAATAATACTATATATATATATAATACTATATTATACAATAATACTATATTCACCCTTTTGCATCCGAAATAATTCCTAATTATGATGATTATATTATTAATTATGATGATTATTGATTATACTTTGTTGCAGGTTTTATTCTCCTTTTTGCAAAACAAAGTCATCGTTTTGCAAATTAAATTCGCTTATTTGTAATTATTTACAATAATATTCATATGAAATTTATGAATTCGATAAAAGACGGCTAATTTTTATCTCTGTGAAAGGGTTAATTTTATTGTGAATTATACCGTGAATATAATCTGCAGAAAGGGGAGTTTGATTTGCAAAAAAAGTGAATATAATTTGCGAAAGTGAATTTGAAGTGTAAAAAGATGAATATCATCTGCAAAAGGATTAATTTTGAGTGCAAAACCTGTACTGAACTATTTCATTCGGTTACTTACAATATACTACCCTCTTTTCTAAACCATTATAATGCAGTCCGTATAAAACTTTAATTGTTATTAACATAAATATCGTTATTAACATAAAGCTATATTGCCAAATGTCTGGAAATCGATATGTACGTTCTTATGTAATATCTCTTCTATAAGCATGATACAAACATCAGAGGTGGGCACCCACATTATTCTTATCTTGTAACTCATAAAATACACGACGTCGTAAATTCACCTTTCCCGCGAATATGCGTCTTACATTGTTATCACTAGACCGCGAATCTTTATACAATTTCTCATTTTCGTGCATTACTTCCTAAAAAGCTGAATAAGAAAAATGTTCTTCGCGATGACTAAAAGATTCCATGTGGAAAGCATAAAATAATAACGAAATTAATTTTGGTCGCACAAATTCTCTGTACAATGTACATATATCTGGCAAGAAAACATGAGATCGTACAATAATTCGTACTTTTTACCAATTTTATTGTAAATTTATAATTCGAATTCTAACCTATAATTCTAATCTATAATTCTATAAAATAATAATAATTCTATAAAATTCTTATAAAACTCATGAACTGTTGATAACTAATAACTGTTTTTATTCTGATTTCCAGCAATTTTTGTTATAACGCTTGTTCATTGAAATTCATTTAACGAATAATTATCCGTAAACACAACTTTAGAAAATTCTATTTCGCTTGTGAATTTTCTGTCGTGGTAGCTGTTCGTTGGATTAACTTTATTGTCGCCTGTCTCATTTTATTTATATCTCATTTTATTCATTCTTTTTGTACCGTTCAAAAATATTGGAAAGTGAAAGAGTGTTGACAATTAATAGAACACGATGACATTTTTTTAGATATTTTTCTATCTATATTTTCTATCTATATTTCTGATAGATATTATTCTATCTATATTTCTGACAGATATCATATATACAGATAAAAAATGATATTTAAGCAACTTTTGTTTGCAAATACTAACATTTTATGCATTTCCAAAATCGTTTATTTTATTGTCTCGTATGAAAAATTTCTCTGAGAAATGTTCTCTAAACCTTTCGAAAGCTGAACCAAGATATTATATTATACATTAATTGCTGAATATCTTTAGCCAACAAGATGTAATTTGACTTGATAGTTTTATTGGAACTTTCTCACTTTGTAGAGAAGGCGATGGTAATATTGAGTTCGGAGCTTTGTGATAGATTGAATAATGGTTTCCTTGAATTATGAGAATTAATGGATTGCGGCGCTTCCTTCGGCATAGTCGGTAATATAATTCCATTCTGACGTCGAATTTATCCGCGATAGAATCTTAAATTATTTGCGATTGATCTGCTAGAACAGAAATTACCGAAGAAGATAAATTGTGTTTCCCTAAAATATTTTTTCACCTTCGCTTTATTATTCATGTTTCCACGTGAAACATTTTACGACAAATTTTAGGATGACGATGTTCAAATTAAATCCTTTTCG